TACGGGGCCTTACACTCAAGTTTCTGCTTCATTCCGCGGCAGATCTTCGGTCCGCAGTTCAGTTTTGCTATCGCATAGTGGACCACAGAAAACGCCCTGCACTGCCAAAAATTTCTTCAACTCCCCAACACACTGTTCAACCCAAAAAGTCCCTAGCATGGCTCGCAAGCTCACCGCGAAGAATCTGTACAATCATCAATGCATAAGTCTACCTCGGCACCACGAAACCCCGGGTTTTAGGTAAAAACAAATTTTGGGGAATTACATCCTCCCCCGCTTAGGATCATTCATCCTCAAATGAGGGTCAAAATCCGCCATTAGGATCCACTATGATTCAGCTATTACTTCACACACCAACAGTCCCCAAATTTTTGACTAACTCCCTAAATTTCCAAAACTTTCAGCAGAGTTTCCCCTGTAATTGGGCCTATCCACCTGTTAGTGAATCCCAGAAACCAATCCTAACAACGCAACCACAACATAATGATGTAAAACAATATGGAAACAACACCAACAACAATGCCATAAACATTGCAATCCCAAGAGGGATTATCCTTAACATAAGTTGTACGAGGGGAACATAATTTGTAGAAAGTTAGCTCTTAACATCATGGATACAATTACATAGCTATTCAAAAAAATTAGGGTGCTTCTTCTTCGTCTCTTCCTCAGATTCCCAGTGGCCTCTTCAACCTATCAGTTTCACCATAGCACTTTCACGGAGGCAATCTCTTTATTTCTCAACTTCTGTACATGCCTATCAAGAATGGTAATTTGAATTTCTTCATAAGTCAGTCATTCATTAACCTCTATAGTATCAACCGGAACAATAAGCGACGGATCTCCAACCACCTTCTTCAACATGGATACATGAAACACCGGGTGCACTAAAGACATCTCCGAAGGTAGTTCTATCCTGTAAGCCACTTGGCCAATCCTCTGAATGATTCTGTATGATCCGACATACCTCGGACTCAATTTTCCTTTCTTTCAAAACCGCATTACCCCTTTCATGGGGGAAACCTTCAAGAATACCCAATCATCCTCTTAGAACTCCAAATTCCTACGACATATATCTGAATAGGACTTCTAATCTTAAAATCATGCTTCTGATCGAAATCACGCAAAGAATCTCTACAATCATCAACGTATAAGTCTACCTCGGCACCACAAAACCCCGGGTTTAGGTAAAAAAATTTACGGGGCCTTACACCATCACATCACAACCTCGATATACTTATTTAACTATCACGGACTCACCCATGAGTGTGGTCACTTCAAATGGATGATGTAATAATTCAGTCTCCTTGCTATATTTTACAGCAACAAATTGAGAGATTTACAAAAGAGTTGAACCTGGATCTATCAATGCATATATATTAATGGAGAATATGGATAGTATACCTGTGACCACCAGTGATGACTCTAGGTTCTGTAGTCTTGACAATGCATAGATGCGATTCTGTTGTCCACCAGAACTAGATGCTCCACCTCTACCTCTACCTCTTGATGGTTTCATGCCTTGCTCATGAGAGCGTGCTGATAATGAAGAAGCTGCTACATATCCCATTGGCGGCATCATATTACCCATATTTATCATTAGAAAAAAATGCATAATGTGACCAGGCTACCCACAAGAATAACATAAATTTGAACCCTAGCGTCAAATTCCAAAATGATTCCTACCACATTGGCCACAATGTGGCACTGGGGGCCTCATATTACTAGGGTCTCCACTATATTACAAGCTCTGTCCCGGGGAATTCTGACCTTGACCGGAATGAGTGATCTGATCAAGATGCTGACCCTGAGACTGTGACATTGCATTAGCTATCGGATGTAGATCGGAGACCGGGCTCTCTTATGCTAGCCCCAATCATGCTCTCGACCATCTCGCAGCTGCCTCTTACAATCCTCCAAGTTATGTGCATAGGCTTGAATATGGGAAATATCTATATTCGGACTCAGAGAAGTAGTGGTACATTCATTAATAAAATGTGGTCCTAAACCACCCATAAATCAATGTGCTCTATCACTCATCTCTTCCACAACCGGAGGGGCACACTTGACCAAGGATTTAAAATTTCATGCTATACTCCCGAACACTCATGTTATCTTTCTCCAAACGTAAAAATCTATCTTGTTTGGATCGGCATAGCTCGATAGGCAAATATTGTTGTAGAAATGCCACAGAAAACCCCCTCCATCATGCTGGTGGAGCAAGAGCTCTCCTAGATTGATCCCAAGTTTCATACAAAGTCACAACAATATCCCACAATCTATAAGAGGCAAGATCTATGGACTCAGTATCAGTGGCATGCATAACTCACAAAGTCAGATGCATCTAATCTACAAAATTCTAGGGATCTTCATTTGGATCAGTTCTGGTGAATACTGGGGGATCCAAATTAATGAAATACGAACTCTTGCGTTGATTTCCCTATCTGAAGACTTAGAGACATGTCGTTGGGCCTGAAAGGCCACTAACCGAGTCAAGAACTGTACTTTACTTCTTATATCTAGTCATGTTTAGGAACAACCAGGGGAGGAATCGGGGGTACGTTAGTTTCTCTATGCCGTTTCGGGGGCAATGGTGTTTTTCCTGAAACCTGAGTATCAACCTCACCCTGAGGTTCATGTTGATCTGTATGGGCAGGTAGCACCTGGCTGGTACCTTGTCCTTCCTCTTTATCTAATCTCTGAAAAATTTATTGATGTCTCGTAGTGGGCATTGCTACAAATATATGCAAGATGATGATTAAAAGTGAATACTTACGACTCAGCTCTATCGCATGATTGGATCAAAAGGAAAGGTATTCATCCTAGATATCATGTAGCCTCCTTTTATAAGTATGGTTCACAACATACCCATAAACAAGACTCTAATAGATACGGCTTGAAAACTCCATATGACAAACCTAATCTGATACCAAGTTTGTCACACTCCAGCCTTTGGAGGTGCGACCGGTAGACGACGCCCGAAGGCCCGTGCGAACAACCGTCCATACTTATACATTTCAGCATGTAATCTAGGCCAACAAGCCTCCAAATATAATATCAAACTTAAATGGTTTACAACAAACTATGGAAGAAACTTTAACATATAATATATATACCACCCTTGCTAACAAAGTTATAACATTAACAATATTTACACATATGAACACTAGTCTTCAAGCCCTAAAAGTACCATGATACATAGCTTTGTCAGGACAGGGACCCACAATACCCAAAATTATTGGAACATATACTTCAGTACCTACTGACTTCCAAACAGCTACTCCGGAGAAGTAAAGTGCAACAACCAATAGCTGAAACGTGCACCCTACTAGGAAGGGACGTCACCAGGTCTATCTGTACCTATGGGCCTGTACACAACGCCCAAAAGAAAGGGGAATCAGAACGGAAAATGTACAGAGCATGCATGACTGATAAGGTACATAATGCAAAGACATTATATAAAGGTATGAATATATCACTTCAACCTGAAAATCGAAGATAGGCCAATGGGGGCATATACTGTGGAAACCATGAATCATAATTACATGCGAATTCTTGAAAAATAAAGGCCTCCCATTGGGGCTATGCATTAAATACATAACATAGTACATCGCTCTTTGGGGCATATCATATCATATCGTGCCCGGCTTCGAAGAGGACTCGGTAAATTCTCATATTGTTATCACATCGTACCCGGCCTCAAGAGATCTCAGTTGTAACCGATCTCAATAGAACTCGACGTTCCTGGTCTCAAAATGAGTCTGTTGTACCCCGCCACACAAGGGCTCGATAATATCTCATGTCACATCACTCTGTACCCGGCCTCATAGAGGACTCAGTCATACCCAGGCTCAGGACATCTCGATTGTAACCAGCCTCAACAGGACTCAGGAACAACACAGACTTGAAAGAAATGCTACTAGTAAGAATGTACATAAACAGGAACAACAATATTGAGAAGGGATTAGAACAAACTAATGTTATTACGCATAAATCATTCAGAGAGAGATGCTTAATCCAAATCATTCCAAGAAAGAAAATTGTCTTACATAACTTGTTGAAGAACTAGCTATGATTCCTGAGTTCTTATGCTTATGTGGTGATTCACTCCGCCTCCAATTAGTGTCCAAAAATCGGTGTAACAAGATAACATATATTAAAGTGACAATCTCAAGCTTCTTCATGCTAAATCCTACTAGGATCGCCTTTGATATAGCCTTAGACTGTTTAATAGCATTTTTGATGGGCTAAATTTGGTGATATCTCCTAGAATGAAAGAGGAAAAGCTATACTACCCTTTTATATTATACTAGGTGTAATAAGTTCCGCTGCTCCGAATGCCAAACGGGTTGCCTTGCACCGGCCACTGCTCCCGGTGGGATAGCCAGCGCAATTTGGTCAATTACAGTCGCCCCTTTGCCTGATAACGTGCCGGCGACTGATTGGTTGTACTAAAACCTCATTAGTCTTCAACAACACATATGGAGGAATAATGTGGGGCATAATACAACTACTGTCTGAAATGAAAGCATACATAACGTAATAAACATAGGGGAAGGAAACTTCGGGTGTTGCAGGTCGAAGCATGGAAAAGAAATCACCACTAAGTCTCCAGTTGATATGCTCACGCGCCTAAGTGACAACCCGATGTACTTGTCTTAATATCTTGATTCCGAGTCTAATACTCGGCTCCAACACTTCACTAGCACCTAAAACTGATGCCGAGAACTCGAAACAAGCCAAAGGAACATTCAAAACAATCATAATATACTCAAGAACTCAAGATTTAACTATCAGAATCAATTCCCAACCCCACATAGAAAGTCAACAAAAGTCAACCCGGAGCCCACGCGCCCCGATTCCAAACAATTTCGAGGATATTTATTTTCCATTAAATCACGAACTTAAATATATAATTTATTTTCAATCTCATCCCCAAATTCATGGTCAAATCATAATTCTTGAACTGCCGCTTCATGTTCGCGAGTTCCCAGTTGCATTCATGGAGGCCATGGTCCCCAACCCTCCACATTTGCGGTCTCCCCTGCCCCGTTCGCGAAGTCCAAGCTTTCCTGCCCCTTCCATTCCTCTTCGTTATTCGTGTTCACGTAGTCTCCTTTGCATTCGTGAAGTGGAGCGAGGTCCTCCATCGCATTTGCGGGGAATTCCTCGTGTTCGCGAAGAGCAGCAGCTACCCCTCCAGAATTTCTTCATCACGACCACGGACCACCTTCGCGATCGTGAAGCACACCAGCACCAACAAAAATTTGCCAACTTAAAAAATGCTTCGAGTGGTCTGAAACTTACCCGAGTCACCAGGGAACCGATCTAAACATGCCAACAAGTCCAGAAACATAACCCAGACAAACTCGAGGTCTCGAAACACATAAAATAACGTTACAACCAGGAATCGCACCCCGACCAAACTAATCAATCTTCCGAGCTTCTATCTTCTATCAACTAAATCCGAATGCGAAAAATCATACTTCGACAATTCGGAATGGAACCAAATTTCACACAAAAGTCTGATAAGACAATACAAACCTATTCCCGTGCTCAGAATACCAAATGGGATCCTATATCACCAAAGTCCACTCCAAGTCAAACTTAGCAAACTATAAAACCTTCATAATGCCAATTTCCAACAATAAGCACCATATTTCTCCTGGATAATCTAAACTCGATACGATCATGTGCCTAAATACAAAATCACCATACGTACCTATTGGACCCTTCAAATCCTGATTCTAAGGTCGTTTACTCAATGTCTTAAATTAAGTCAAACTTGGCCACTTTAGGCCACTACTATTGAAGTAAGTGTTTCGAATTTCAACCCGAATCCTTTTAAAACCAAACCAACCGTCCCCACAAGTCATAAAATATGAAAATAACATACGAGAGTATTAAATAGGAGAACGGGGTTGTAGAAATCAGAAGGATAGATTGGGTCGTTATATTCTCCACCTCTTAAACAAATGTTCATCCTCAAGCGGGTTTAGAATAATACCTGAAGTGGCAAAAAGTTGGATATTTCCTCTACATGTCTTCCTCGGTATCTCAAGTCGCCTCCTTGACTTGCTAACCCCTCCACTGAACCTTCACAATTCAAAACTCGTTAGATTTCAACTCCAAAGCCTGCCTATCAACAATGGCAATCGGCTCCTCCTCGTAACTCAAACCCTCATCCATATGAATTGTGCTATAATCCAACAAATGGGACATGTCAGAATGGTACCTCCGGAGCATAGACACCATAAATACCGGATGAACTCCTGATAAGCTAGAAGGTAAAGCAAGCCTGCATGTAACCTCACCAACTCGCTCCAAAACCTCAAACTGACCGATGAACCTCAGAATCAACTTGCCTCTCATCCCGAATCTCATGATACCCTTCATCGGTGTGACATGCAAAAGTACCTTCTCACCCACAATAAATGATAAATCACGCCCTTTCTAATCCGTGTAACTTTTCTACCTGGACTATATTGTGCAAAACCGCTCCTGAATTAACTTTACCTTATCCAAGGCATCTTTCACCAAGTCGGCAACCTAGCCTCGCCAGCCTAAAACAAAACGATTGGGGAACAACATCATCGGTCATACAAGGCCTCAAATGGAGCCATCTCGATGTTGGGCTGATATGTGTTGTCATAAGCAAACTCAGACAACAGTGAGTGTCGGTCCCACTACCCTCTGAAGTCAATCAGACATGCCCTGAGCATATCCTCAATAATATGACTTGATTGTTCGGAATGCTCATCGGTCTGCGGATGAAAAGTCGTGCTGAGCTCTACCTAGTTACCCAAGATGCTCTGCACTACTCTCTAGAATGCAAAGTGGACTAAGTGCCTCTATCTGAAATAATATAAATAGGCACGCCATGTAATCGGATGATCTCTTGGATATAATTTGGGCCAACCTCTCTAAATTATAAGTAGTCATCACTAAAATAAAGTGTGTAGACTTGGTTAGTCTATCGACAATGACCCAAAAAACATCAAATTTCCTCAACGTGTGCGGAAAACCAACCATGAAATCCATGGTGATGTGCTCCCATTTTCACTCATGTATAACCGTCTACTGAAGCAAACCACCTGGCCTCTAGTGCTCATACTTAACCTGCTGGCAGTTCAGGCATCTTGACACATACTCAACTATTTCCTTCTTCATCCGCCGCCACCAGTAATGTTGCCTCACGTCAAGATACATCTTCGTGGAACCGGGATGAATGGAATAATGCGAATTGTGTGCCTCCTAAAGAATTGACTCTCTCAGGCCATCGACATTAGGAACACTTAACCGACCTTGGAGTCGCACAACACTATCATCACCGATAGTCGCTCTTTGGCATCACCTCATAGTACTGTCTCTCTAAGAACCAGTAAGTGCGGATCATCTTGCTGAGGTACCTTAATCCGCTTGAATAAAGAAGACTGAGCCACAACACACGTAAGAACTTGACTAGCCTATGAAATATCTAACATCACAAGTCGGTTAGCTAAGTACTAAATGTCCAATGCCAATGGACTCTCCTCTACTGGAATGAATGCCAAACTACCCATAGTCTTATCCTTTCTTCTCAAGGCATGTGCGACCATATTCGCCTTCCTCAAATGATAAAGAATGGTGATATCATAGTCCCTGAGTAACTGAAGCCACCTGCACTTCCTCAGATTAAGATCCTTCTTCTTAAACAGATGCTGCAAGCTGCGATGATCATTGTAAACCCCACATGGCACTCCATAAAGATAATGCCTCCAAATCTTGAGAGCATGAAATATCGCAGCCAATTCTAAATCATGTACAGGGTAATTTTTCTCGTGGAGCTTCAATTGTTGAGAAGTATATGCAATAACTCACCATCCTATATAAATACACAACCCAACCCAACACATGAAGCATCAATATACACCATGTACATCCCCGAATCGGAAGGCAGAACTAACACTAGTACTGTAGTCAATGTCATCTGCAGCCATCGAAAGCCTCCTCCCAATCATCAGACCACCTGAACTGAACACCCTCCTGAGTCAATCTAGTAAAATGAACCATAATAAATGAGAAACCCTCCACAAACCGATGATAACACCCTGCTAGCCCCAAGAAACACCTGATCTCGGTCGTTGTGGCAGGACGAGGCCAACTCTGAACTTCATCGTTCTTCTGAAAATCCACCTTAATACCCTCACCTGATACGATATGCCCCAAAAAGCCACAAAATCTAACCAGAACTTGCTCTTAGAGAACTTAGCGTATAACTTCTGTTCCCTCAAAGTCTAAAGCACTATCCTCATATACTAATCATGCTCCTCTATGCTACACGAGTAGATCAATATATCATCAATGAAGATAATGACAAATGAGTCAAGATATGGACAAAACACCTAATTCACCAAATCCATCAATGTTGCGGAGCATCAGTCAAGCTAAAGGACATCACTCGAAACTCGTGGTGCCTATATCTAGTCCAAAAGGCCTTTTTCGGAACATCCAAAATAGGAATCATCAACGGATGATACTCAAATTTCAAGTCATTCTTCAGGAACAACCTAACACCCTAAAGCTAACCAAATAAGTCATTAATGTGCAACAACGTATATTTATAATTGATGGTGTCCTTATTTAGCTAGCAGTAATCAATGCACATCCGCATACTCCCATTCTTCTTCTTCATATATAAAATGACGGGATGCACTACTAAATGAATATACGAACCATCTCTGCCTCTGTGGGAAGTAATATAGCTACATGGCATGACAACTCAGTTAATCTCGCCTCATAGTCAGTCACAGACATTTGACCGTGCTGGAGCCACTCGAACTAACCACGTAACTTCTCTCTCTGTGAAGTTGGAATAAACTTCTCCAAGAAGATGTGCGTGAATTGATCCCAAGTCAAGTGAGGTGAACCTGCTTTTCTACTCTGAAGATAAGATTGGCACCGTCTATGGGCCTTCCTCTCTAGCTGAAAAGTGGTGAAGTTTACCCCATTAGACTCCACTAGTCCCAAATTATGCAGCCTCTCCCTACAACAGTCAATAAAATCTTGTGGGTCCTCTGATGGCTCACCGCCAAAGTAGGGAGGATGAAGCCTAGTAAATCTGTCCAGCCGCTTCTGCTCCTCAACGGTCGTGGATGGTCTGGTCTCTACTCTATCCACTGTAATCAGCTGAACTCCGCTCGCATGTAGTATTCCTGGAGGCAGTATCCCATAGGGTTCTGTGATCCCCTTCCCGCCTAAGATGTGGCTGAGTCTGCTGGAAATAATTTGGCCTAAGTCATAGAGTCCATGAACCGCAACATATATCCCATGACTTTCTAGAATCTTGGTGCCATCATGAACTATGTCGGAGCCTACTCGGCTGAATGTATCTCATCTTGCCCTTCAATAATAGGATCCGCCACCGGATTCACTAGTGGTGCGATTCCCTCGTCCCCAACAGGAGCTCTGGCCCTCCCTCGGCCTTTGCCTATACCTCCGGCAATGGGGGAGCAACCCCTTTGTTGTCAGATGATGCCATCACGCGCATTCTCATCATATGTGAGGGAATAAGAAAAATATTTAGACTTAGAAAAACATCGACAGCATGATAGTAAATGAAGAACGCAAAGTTTCCTAATACACTATTACCTCTCAAAGATAAGTACAGATTTCTCCGCACCGATCCACAATACTCTACTACGTCTGCCCATGACTCATGAAACCTATGTGAACCTAGTCCTCTAATACCAAGCTGTCACGACAAAATTCCCACTATAGGGTGTGATGGCGCCCAATACTGCGGTTAGGAAAGCCAATGATAAATCATCACCACAAACAATCGCTTATAACACTTTTTAAAATCAAGAATTTAAATAATAAAGCACAGGTAGATTTAGGAACCATGATAAAATACTTCCATTCTTACCAAGTAACGAAATATGAACAAAACATAAGGTGGAATGATATAGATAGCAAATACAACCATAATCATTTGCTAAAAATTTCTAAAATCCGGTGTCATAAGTGCACGAGAAACTAATAGAATATAGAAAGCCACTACAACTACTGTCTGGAATGAAAGTAGATAGAATGTAATAAATATAGGGGGATAAGACTCCGGGTGCTACGGGTCGAAGCATAGAAAGCAGCTCACCTCTAAGTCTCGAGCTGATACACTCACGCGCCTAAGTGACCACCCGATGTACCTATCTTCGAACCTTGCTTTTGAAATCCAATACTTGGTTCCAACACTTCACTAACACCTCAAATCGATGCCGAGCAACTCGAAACTAGCCTAAGGAACATGCAAACAAATCAAAATATACTCAATAACTCAAAATTTAACTATTAAAATCAATTCTCAACCACTCCCGGAAAGTCAACAAAAGTTAAACCCGGGCCCACACGCCCCGATTCAAGATTTTTTCAAATATAAATATTACACATAGCATTACGAACTCAAACATAAAATTTTTTTCCAATATCATGCCCAAATTCGTGGTCAAATCCCATTTTTACCCATTCTAGGTTTTCCAAACAAAACCCCACAATTTCTACTAATTTTCATGTTAAAATTAACATATAATCCATGTATTTTGCTCACAATAAGTAGATATAGCTTATCAACAAATACTTGATAAAAATATCCCTTCAAAAAGCTCCCAAATCGCCCAAGCCAAGAGAAGTGTAGGATGAAATGAGCTAAGTCCGGAAGTTAAATCTTATATTTTGCCCAGGCATCCATCATTGTGATGGCTGAAGATGCATTGCAATCGCGAAGGCTAACAGCTGCCCCTTCGTAAACCTACCTATTTATGTTCTCAAGCTCCCAGCTGCATTCACAAAGGCCACTGGCCCTAACCCTCCGTGTTTGCGGTCTCCCCTACTGCGTTTGTGAAGGACAAGCTTGCCTGCTCCTTCCCTTCCTCTTCCTTCTTCGCATTCGCAAATAAGAGCCAGGTCCTCCATTGCGTTTGCAGGGTCATTCTCGCATTCATGAAGAGAAACAACTGCCCCTCTAGAATTTCTTCATCGCGATCACGAAGCACAGCAGCACCAGCAAAAATCTGCCAACTTTGAACACGCTCCAAGTTGTCCAAAATTTCCCGCGCCACCCGGGACCCCGTCCAAACATACCAACAAGTCAAAACACATAACTCGAACCTAATCGAGGTCGAGAAACATATAAAATAATGTTACAACCATGAATTGCAACCCAACCCTAATTAATCAATCTTCCAAGCTTCTATCTTCTATCAACTAACTCCCACCGTGGTGAATCATACTAAGACAACTCGGAATGGAACCAAATTTCATGCATAAATATGATAAGATAATACAACCATATCCGCAAGATTGGAATACCAAATGGGATCATATATCACCAATGTCCTCTCCAAGTCAAACTTAGCGAA